CAGCTGGCACAAGGACCCGCACCCTCCGGAAGCGGGCGAGTGTGCGTGCGCCCAGCTCAGCCCTTTCTGCTGCTACCTCTTGTTGACGAAGCAGACAGGATCAGGGTGCAGGAGGTCGAGCTGTGAAGACCCACGTTGAAGAATTTCTAGAAATCTGAGGTCTGCACAGAGACGCTGATTCTCCAGTAAGAACAAATGCCAGGTGATTGTGCCAGGCACCCCAGAAGTCACTGCAAGAGTGACATGTGACGTCAGAGAGCACTGCAGCAAGACCAGCTCCCCCAGATGCTGCTCCCCCAGACGCTGCTCCCCAAGAACCCCTGACTGTGTTCAATCCTCCCCCTTGTGGGAGAGGGGTAGTGGGGTGACTGCTAATGACCCAACTAGGGTCCTAATAGAAACGAGCCTCCCCTCAGGACCTCAAAAACTCCAACCCATGATGAACAACGTTCCTGGACTCAATCAAAGATTCCACAGAGGGGCGTCAAGGCCCACGAGTCTGGCTGCTCCTGCCAGAACTCGGTCCCGGGCCAAGAGGGAGGTTAATTACCAGGAAGGATAAGGGTGGAGGCCGACCAGACAGAGTGGAACCCCAACTCCTTGGTGACAGGGAGTGAGGGCGCAGGGGAGAGGCCAGACTGACCCGGCCAAGGGAAATCAGAGCTCTGACGAGATGGGAGCCGCCTTGCCCTCACCGGCCGGCCCAGGCCCTCGCTCCTCCCTGGGGCATCAGGCCGCTCCGTGCTGGGGACAGTGGCCTGGGGCACTCTGGGAGCAGACCTGTTCCCAGGAATCCTGTCCTTCACCCTGACCTTTCCTCCCAGACTCCCAGAGGTCCAGTCCTCTGCTGCAGGGGCGGTGGGGGGTGGGGTCACTCTGCCAGGCCTGACCCTGCCCTCGGCATGTGGCTCCCAAGGTAAGGTCACGTGGCTCCAAGGTCACGTGGCTCCCAAGGTCACGTGGCTCCGGCCCCTCATCCTCCTCCACACAGCCCCCAGGGCTTCGGCTGCAGCTGCTTCCCTGAAGCCGCCACTGCAATGGCGATGACCAGGCTCCCGTCGAGGCTGCGCCCCCCACAGCAACTCACGCTTTGGGCCCAACTGGAACCATGTAATTGCTCAAGCGAGGCCCCGGCATGTAACCTTGGTGTTATCTCTGCCCCACGCTGGGAAGCAGGACGCGGGGTCTTGAAGGACACCCCGGAGCTCCCACAGCGGGGGGGCCCAGAGGCGGTGTCTGGGTCTCCCTGGGGATCCGCAACCTGCCTGCAGTGTCCAGACAGAGGCTTCGTACAGGACATCGCAGGCAGAGCCTCTGCGAGGCCGCGCTGGTCCCCCAGAGCCTCCAAGGAACAGCAGCGTGAACCGCGTGAGTCATGACACTGGGAAGACGTTACCTGCCCGCATCAAGTTGAGCAAAAGGCAACACTGAGAGCCAAGTCGGCCTGAAACGCTGGCCAGATCCTGGCTGCGTCCTTCCCGTCCCCCAGCCAGGAAAACAATCGGAACTTAGATCATGAGCAACAACGCGCACTTGATCTCAGCCTCCCCGACTGTGGGTTGACTGGCAGGCATCAGACAGATGAAAGTCAACGGAGGCTAGAGCGCTGGTCTGTGTGCAGAACGCCTTCATCCTTCTCCCCTCTGCTTTCCCCTCCTCCTAGACAGCTGGGAGGGGAGGAAAGAAACAGAGAGATATCCAGGGCTCACGTAAAGTGGGGAGCCAGGAAGCCACGAGATAAGATGGAGCTTTAGTTGCTGGTGGCTTTAAGTCTGCTACAGAGCAAGCGGAACTACATAAAAACATACAGAGCTGCGTCTCCCCCAGGCTTAGAGAACACCGAGTCCCGGTGTCCCCTTCAACTGCAAGCCTGGCAGCAGGCCGCTAAGAGAAAGAAAGGACCAAGCTTAATAAGCTCCACACGTGCTGTGACAAGGAAAAAAGATAGCATGGCTAGATTTTCGATCCAGAATATTCTCTTCTTTAAGATTTTATTTTGATTTATTTATGCACACAAGAATTGGGGTACAGGCCAGGGGTGCAGGGCGTGAGAGGATTCCCCAGAGATGGAGTGGGGAGCAGAACAGGCCGACTGGCAAAGCACACTGCTGAGGGGAGCAGCGGGCGAGACAGGAGAGGTCTGGAACGCCCTGTGGGTGACTCCCTGGTCAGGGTTCAGACTCGTGCTGCAGTGGCGGCAGAGAGCTCCATAGTGCTGAGACTTACCTCTGGTGCCACCAGAGAGGGCCCAACACGCAATATTCTTGCAAGACCAACACAACAAATAATTTATGTGAACCCATTATTCAGTCCTGTACCTTGAGACCAAAGATGGAGAACGTCTCTCTTCAGAGGCCCCCAAAAGACATGAGTCTGGAAGCTTCCTCTGTGAAAATCTGCTGCCTGATTTTTCACAAGTTATTCCATGCCTCAGGCCCGGTTCTCTTCCAAAACAAAGTCATGAGACACACGTCTCCACTTCTCTGTCTACTTCACAGGGAGCGGGAAGGGAATGTCAGGCAGATGCAAAAAATAGTGCTGGGCTGTACGAAGACGCTGGCTTCTTTTTCCTTTCTTTCCTGTATCAGGTTCTGGATGATACAATTCACACTCCTCCAGGCAGGCGACTATGGAGGAGCTCGAGCCATTTCTCTTCGATTAGACCGCAGCATCGCTGCATTTCTATTTCAAAAAATCTGCAGAAGAGGGTCCTCCCTGGTGGCGCAACGGGTTCGGATGCAGCACTGCAAGCTGCCTGCAGCCGCTTCACTGCGAGTTCGATTCCCGCCCCGGAGGTGACCCACAGGGCGCAGCAGACCTCTCCTGTCTCCCAGCTGCTCCCTCAGCAGCGTCCTCCGTAGATCTGTCTGTTCTGCTCCCCGCTCTGTCTCTGGTGAATCCTCTCACCGCCCCTGCACCTCTGGCCTGTACCCCAGTTCTGTATGAGTAAATAAAATCTGCAGAAGAGCATCTCTGTGGGAGCACAACACAGAGGCTATGAGGATTTGTTGAGACATCAGGAGTTGCGGCCTGGCGGGTCGTCCTCGCCCAGCCAGGCAGACGCACGACAGACGGGAGTGTAAACTCAAGCAGTGGCCGTGAGTCTGCCTGTGGCGCCCAGCGCCACGCCCCACCCCGGTCCCGGGGAGGCAGAGGGTATAGTTGGCATCTGGATCATTACAAAACAAAATAGCGAAATGCACACGGCCAGGGGGGCCGAATCCGGAGAAAACCAGGTGGAAGCGTCCCAGGGTTCCCGGGTGAGTGAGGCGGGGTGCCCTGCGTTCCCCACCCGTGTGGAGGAGGGAAGTGCGTTCCACCAGGCAGCCCAGTTGATGGCCAAGGTTTGTTACGGGGGGCTGGTCATGCCGTTCCTCGAGCAGGCTCCCCGAGAGAAAGCCAAGCGTCAGCCTAAACCCATCATTTGTAACAACAGCTCGGCACAGCAAGTCATTCTCATCGCCCCTGATAATATCACAACCGCTGGCCAGGCCGGTGAGCCCTCCGACTGCCAAGTTCCCAGACTCCCGTCAGAGTGAGACCTTGCAATACGCCTTTGAGAAACCACGTTCTCGCAATGCTGTTGTGTCATGTTAACTCCTGTTAACCCTCTCAAGCACACAGGTGTAAGTGGGGCAGCAGAGTTGGAAACATGCGAGGAACCATTCATTCGGTTACCGCGACCGGGCTCCAAGGCCCGGTGGGGCAGGTTGCTGTCCTTCATCACATCAGCTCAGCACGTCCACGGCCCCTGCCACCACTGCAAGGGCCGCGGCCGGCCGGCCTCTGCGGCTGCACCCCGGCTCCTCCTCCCCGCCCGCCTACGACGGCTGCACCCTAAGCTGTCCGTGGCTGCCTGTCAGCTCTTTGGCTCAGCTCTTCCGTGGGGGTCAGCGCGACTCCTGTTCTCCTTGACTGGATCAGACGTGGCCCAGATGCCCTCCAGCCCATTCTGCCCCCCCCTCCCCCAACGAGGCTTCCAGCACCCCACATTTCATCTGACCTCGACCCCTTGTCCACCAGAGGCTGCCTCAGTGGTGTTTGAAGTCCTCGTTCCTGGGGCTTATCCTCAGCAATGACCTGAAAGTCGCCCTCAAGCCGGAGGTTAATTTCCTCCACGTGGCCAACGGCCAGAGAGACCCCCAGAGCAAAGAGCCACAGATTTCTCCACCGTACCTTCCAGAACCCTCTCTGCAGGAGTTCGCCACGCTATGACCAGCCGCAGCTCCTGTTCCCATGCCCTCGCTCCGCCTGGAGGGGGCACTCCCAGCCCCGTCCTCTTTCCTCCTGACCGGTGACTGTGCCAAAGTCCCTCCTCCACATGTACATTTCAGATCAGGGGTGGGGAAAGCAGAGGGAATACACGGTGTTTCCTGGTCTCAAAACCCGTGACATGGTCATTCAAGGGCTTCCTCCAGGACATCAGCCACGTCCCCAGGAGCTTCAGACTCGGAGGTCCCCTGGGGACTCGGAGAGGATAGCCTCAGCTAGAGCCTCCCCCACCCCTCCGCAGCGCCGAGGGGTGACCTGCCCTCCCGCGTGTTCAGAACATACTCATGGTGGGCTGATGGCCAGGAAAGGTCACCAAGAAACAGAGCCTGAGCCAGGTCCTAGGACACACCATGACACAGGACGGGGCGTGAACAGGTGGGCATCTTAGAAAGAGCCCAGGCAGCTGGGAGGAGACAAGATGGGGCGTGCCTAGAAGCCAGCAGCAGGACTCGGAAGTGCTCCGAACAGCTGCATGGCGAGGACGGCACTTAGGTCTGAGGGACACGTGGGAAGAAGGGGCCGGCAGGCAGGGCTCGCCAGGCCGCACGGCCCGGACACGCGGCGGCGGGGAGGAGGCCCGTCCTCTGGCTGGGGTCTGCCTGCAGGGCTGGCGGGGCCGCGGGGATGAGGGGCCCGCAGCTGCCGCCATCGCCCCCCCTCCCCACCCCCCGCCTAGTCTCACTGGGTCACGGCGTTGGCTTGTCTTGTTTTTCCTTGAAGGCCCGGACATGCGCTTGGTGTGCGTGACAGACTTCCAGGCCCTGGCTCGGGAGCGCCTGTCCAAGCCCAGCTGGGACTACATTGAAGGCGGTGCTGGCGAAGGCATCACGCGGGAGGACAACATCGCGGCCTTCAAGAAGTTCGGCCTTTTCTTTTCAGGGGTTGGCCTAGGTGCCTGGTGGGGAGCTCCTTGGCGTGGGAGGGGCTGCCGTCGGGGAAAAGCGCCAGATACAACGACGATTTTTATCACTGGGGTGGGGGCCCGGGGGCCAGCAGAGGACGGAGGAGGGAGGATTCCTAGGCCCGAGTCACCGCTGGGTGTCCCAGCTACTCTGCTCCTGGGAGAGTCCGGGTGACCAGCCACCCGAGCCAGGGAGACGCGGGCAGAACTTAGACACCCCGAGTCCTAAATGCTGGCTTGAGAGGGAGAATTACAGCTGGAGCCAGGACCTGCAGAGTAGAAGGAACGTGAAAGCACATAGAATCAGGGGGGTGAAATGTTGATGCAAGCGGGTGGGAAGGGGGGTAAGTTGCACCCCACAGCCCCTGCCTCCGGGACCTGTATGGTCAAGCTAAGGCGCTTGTTTTTTTGTTTTGTTTTTTTTTAAAGATTTATTTATTTGTGCATACAGACCTGGGGTACAGGTCAGAGGCTCAGGGGCAGCGAGAGGCTTCCCCAGAGACAGAGCGGGGAGCAGAACAGGCAGATCGACGAAGCACACTGCTGAGGGGAGCAGCGGGCGGGTCAGAAGAGGTCTGCCACGCCATGTGGTCACCTCCGGGGCAGGCGGGGATCGAACTCATGCGGAAGCGGCTTTAGCTTCTCAGTGCAGTGCTTTAACCTGCTGCACCCCCAGGGAGGGCGCCATGGGGCTTGTTTTTTTTTTAATGAGTGAAGAAAAACAAAAGCAGGACTAGCACAGAAAACAGCCTGCAGTCCTGGTGCGTCTGTGGAGAGCAGGCTGGCGTGCAGTGACGGAGGTCTGGGCCGTGGCTGTCTGTTGCAATCGCAGAGCTGCATGGTGGTGACGCAGGTCGTCTGTCCCAAAGCCTAAACACTTGCCGTCTGGCCTTAGAGGCGATGATCGCTGGCCGTGACGGGCACCAGGGCAAGCCGAGGGCTCAGATCCAGGCCAGCACTGTGCCCAGCACGTCCCTGCTTTACAGCCGATGGTCTGCACCAGCCAGCGTGGCGATGCGGTGGCTGCACCTCGCACCGGAGCTGCAGCTCCCACCATTCCGCCGCCCCTGTTTCCAGGACAGTCTACTGTGCGCACGAGCGATAGCATTCTGTGCAAAGCAAGCGTGTGAGGGCCAGGAGGCTGAGCGCTGGCCTCAAAAGTGGGTTTGATCTATTTATTGCGCGTGAATTTGCCTCCTTTCCTTGAAAGCGGTTTGACCCGCGACTTCACAGGAACCGGCCTCCGAAACAAGCAAGACCCCTCCGTGGCTCGCTTGCGGGCATCTGTGCTCCTGTGCGGCCTTTTCTTACTTTGTGGAGACCTGGAACTTCTCGGTCCCGCTTCTTTATTTTCGGGTCCTTATGAGGAATCAAACCCAGCAGCTGAGAGTCTGGGTGGAGAGTCCGAGATGCAGGCTGTGACCGAGCAAAGTGGCCTCGCATGCATTGGGGTTCAGGGGTGCCGCAGAGAATCCCAAGGAGAGGAGCCTCCCTCGGGCCTCCATCTCCGCTACCAGCCAACTGGCCCCACCAGAGGCTTCGGGCCGTCTGCTGTAGGCCTGCACCGGCGCTGGGGCCCTGGGGCCAGGCAGCACCGGCAGCAAGACAGCGGTCCGCCGACGGAAGCTCTTTGTGTCTAGCACAGAATCCGCCTCCGCCCACGGTACCTGAGAGACGTGTCGCAGGTGGACACCGGCACCACGATCCAGGGGGAGAGGGTCAGCGCCCCCATCTGCATCTCCCCCACAGGTTTCCACCGCCTCGCCTGGCCTGATGGCGAAATGAGCACGGCGAGAGGTGAGAACCAGCCCGATCTGGTCCCCTCCCTGGGTGCCCTGGCCTGCAGGGGGTGTTTGGACCTGCAGGGGGCACGTCACTGGCCTGCAGGGGGGCTGTCCCTGGCCTGCAGG